ATAGATGAATTTCCAATTTTCATGGCAGGGTAGATAATGGATGAATTTCCATTTTTCATGGATTCAATGTATGCAGAAACAGACTGACCACCATCTTGCAGTCCACTACCAACCAATTTTGACGTTGACATAGGGCGCTCCAATATCAGGTTGTCAGCCATACCATGCAAATTGTTCTGTGACGTGCCAGTAAAACCCTTGAGAAAAATGGTGTTACCATCCTGAATGTTCCTTTGCTGTTTATTTTGTACAGCACCAACAACAAAATTTTGGTTTGTAAAAGGGTTCTTTGATAGTGCAACACCATCTAAAGACTGTTGAGAACTTGCTGAACCTCCAGATGAACGAACCATATGAGACAAGTCATTGGATACGTTGGGCATAGACACAGATTTCAACAAACCAGCAGTTGCTGATAATCCTTCAGGCCAGTCCCATTCACTCCGATCTCCCGGAACCCTAATCTAAAGCATCATAAAAATATCACGATCCATTGTTGTCGTTGCTTCAAAGTTCAAACACATGCAAATAAGAAATCCAATTCTCAATTCAAAAGACAATGATAAATTAGTCAAAAGATGGGGACAAAGCATTGTAACTGACAACATGGAAATAAATTTGTAAGCTCAATAACTATGATTCTATCAAATACAACAAGAAAAACACCACCATTTCATACTCACCTCACCCCTTTACCACTTAATCCAAGGCCCTAAGGGTAAGAAGGTAGGCACCCGTGTGGAAAAACCTAAGAATACTTACACACCATTGGATCTACCTTAGGCAGAAAAGAGTTCGTAAAACTCCTGATTCATAAACTTAAAGCAAATACTATTTTGCTTGTGGTAATGTAAAAGAAAACGGTTCTTCCTTTTCTAAGTAGGACTGTATATGATGGGTCCTAGTGAAGTGGATACGATTGAGGTAAACACCTGTGATGTGATCTTACCTACAGGAATAGTCTTTGCATCACACACACACACAAGGGAGACAAACCCACTAATGTGCCCATGCATCTACACATATGTACATAAGCATGCATGCACTTGCACTTGACATACACGCAAAGGTGCCCGCACAAAGAAATAGGGCATAAAGCAATAGGGAAAGTATTTACCCCGGAATTTAGGAAGTAGAGCTTGCACCACTGGGCAATGGTCTCTCCATTGTCCATATGAACGGCATCCCCTGGGTTGACACCATATAATCCTGAATGCTACAAAAAAAGTTATAGCAATTTTTAAGCAAAATTACAAGCCAAATGCTTTGCAAATATATATCACAATTAGCAAAGCTGTAGCATTATGGAATCACTAACCTACCTCGCAAAATTTCACGACAGACATGTGGAGACGATGGCATGAGCAAACAATACCAACAAGTCCTGTATTGCTGAGAAGTAGATAACCACCTTTTCAAATAATAAAAATATCAACTCAAATTTCAGAAGAGTATCAACCAAATAGGGTATTGATATATTTCAATAACAAGATCAATGTCCTTAAAACACTCACTAGTAGTCGAGCAAAAAACACGAGGGCAACCATTCATAAAACTCGATGCCTGGTTAGATATAACGAAGTTTCCTTCCACTGGCAATTTTTTTGAAGTTTGAATATTTGCTCCACAAGCCTTCCCAGTATCTGCAGGGCTAACACCACGCCATTCCCCACTCAAGGAAAAAGAACCCTTTACTTTCTCACTCCCCAGAACCATGTTACGGGTGACTACTTTGGCGAGGTCTGAACTCTGCAGATCGTGCAAAACAGAATTGCTCACACAATTGGAACTTGGCACTGACCTTGATGAAACCTTAGTACAAGGGTCTGCTCCACTTTGCAGGTTTTGCCCACTCAGATTTTCTGACAACACCCCACTGGATGTCACTGGAATGGCACTTCCAATACCATTCACTATAAAGTTATTACTATTGGGCAGAATCTTACAAGATGTACCAATAGGTTTCGGATTTGATAATTCTTGGAAATCACACTGGAATACCGATGGTGACCCAGATAGAAGAGCTAGAAAAGAATTTCCTGAATTGGCATGTTCTGATCTCTGGGAACCTGAATACAGCTTGCTGGCAAGTAGGGGATCTTGTAACCTACCAAACATTGTGGGTCTTAAATCTTGTGAGCCATGTGGATAAGAATAATAACCTGTATTGGTCTCCATCTTTATTGCAAATGAAAATCCATGTTAGTAATGTGAGAATAAACATGCCAAGGTCACAATATAAGAAATTTAAATGCATAGAGGAATAAATATTTTCACAATGGTATAGTACAAACTAATAAATGGTCAAAGCATATACATGTTTCATGTACGATATCTCACAAGCACCATTACACCAATGACTGCCACCTTCACAATTCCATGGACAAAATTCAAAATTGGTGCCACAAGGATCATTTCATATGAGATGTTGTTTTCACAGGTTACTGTCATGATTGATAATCGCATTGTATATGCGCATTCCTTGTCCTAGCAAGCATGCGCACAAACACATTTTTGTTCTAAGTGTGTAATAACATCAGAAAATCAGAATTACAGTTATTGGGCAATGAAGCTACTAGAAGCATAATATCCTAGTTAAGAAATATATAATTATAATACTGTTACACACTCATTGCCAAGTAGAGATGCTTTGCAAAAAGAAGAGAAAAGTTTCACTAAACAGAATTTTTGATAACTAATGTAGTAGCCCCTTCACATTGTCTTAAACTTGATCATTCCAACACCTTCTATCAAATGCACTATATACACATACTACTTTTTTTTCTTTTTTCTTTTTTCCACACTGGCTGAAATGTGCTTCCTCTGACAATTTAACACAGCCATCTCAATGTACAACACATTAAAGCACAAGAATCAATCAACAGCAACTACAAAAGAAAAAGTAAAGAGAAATTATCATCAAAAGGACACAGGGTACCCGGTTCCGATGCTCCTGAGATGAAGAGGAAGCCATTGACAGTGCCGATGACTGCAATGTCGAACTACATTTGGTCCGCCACGAGTTCTCCATCATTCTGAGCTCTCAAAACCCTAGCCTCCTTCCATCAGAACCATCAAATGCAGCGAAACACCTCCCAGAAATGAAAAGCGGCGATCAAAGACCGATTATGTACTTTTAACGGCTACTAAGACAAGGTCACGGCGGTCGAGGTAATCGGTGAGGTCAAAAGCAACAGAGAAACCCTAGGTTTCAACGGAGAGGGGAGAGGGTAGAGAGTAGAGAGAGAGAGAGAGAGAGAGGGAGAGAGAGAGAGTTGCAGAGTAGCAGAGGAGCTGTGAAGCTTTGAGAAGCAAAAGATGAGAGTCAGAGAGAGAGCATCTCTGGTGGTGTAGTGGTTCGAGGCAGGGCTTAACATGGCACTGACACTCACACGTCGACGCGTGTGCTGGGTTAAACAATTTTGAACCGTTAGATTTGCTGGTTTGGTGAAGGGTGGGAAAGCGGGGAAATCTGGACCGTCGATTGTGAACACAGCTTGGATTCGGTGGTTTGCATTGGTTGGGATAAAAACGCAAGGGTCTTGTTCTGGTCAGATACTGTAGTGTCACAAGGGCCCACTAATACACACTGAAAGGGGTGGATACGTGGGCGGATACGATTGGTGGGGTAGGAGAAGGAGTGGGGACCACCGAAAGATTATGTTTGTGTTTGGATGAGGGGGAGCATTGCAATTATTAAAGTGTCGTCCAATTTTGGGGTGGGAAATCCAGGTGTTGGATTTGGATAACCTTTTTCATATGAGCATGATGCCTAAAGAGACTATGACTAAAAATAGTATTTTGTATCCAAGTCATTTTAGGTATGCATTAACACCACAACTAAAAATTTAAAAACTTGAAATCTTAAGAGTTATTAGTACAGAATTTAAATAAGGGCGAAATTAAAAAAATTCACCGAACTTGAGTAAGGTAGGTTAATTACTGCTAAAAGGGGTTAGCTGTGATTTCAAGTAAATAGGGTTAAATCACGATAAAATTCAAGTAGGCGGTGGCATTACTCGTACTCGTAGTATATGTAATGGCAAGTGAATTAGTAGAATATGAAGAGGGTTTGATTAACAAAAGCGAGTTTTGCTAAAGCAAACACAAAGAATTGCTCCTATACATATTTGAACCGTTACAGGCATAAAACACACTTGAGTTTACTCGAATGTTGCAAGTAATATTACACGTGTGTTCAAGCCTTGTATACTTTGATATAAAGAAATAAGAATATTGCTATAAGCTCTGTTTGTTTTTGGAAAGGAAAATAAAACACATACGCATCAACCAAATTGGAAGAATTGAATTGAAAGATAACTTTAATTTTTCTGAAACTGGGTATGCCAAATTGGCCAGGCTGAAAGCCCAAAGTGTTGGGCCGACCATCATTTGACCCATAGCCTGGGGCTGCGCCAAATAAAACCAGCACTATCCGATCATTCTGAAATAAATTGGGTTGTAAAAAGGGATTCTAAAATTAATTGAACAAACGTATACAAGGAAGGAGATATAGGTTCATACATGATACAGCCACACAATTTAGATCAAATAAACTCGTTCAGGTGTCAATTCCAACAAAGATGAAAATCCCAACATTTGTAAGCAATGCTAACCAGAAAACGTAGCAAGGGAAAAAGAAAATTTGATTCACGATTTTCTTATCGATCACGAAGTCGTGGCTCGATAACTCATCCAGCTCATCCATCGACCATGTAATTTGGTAACACAACGCAATTGCAAGCATTTATTAACTTTGTTATTCTACTATAAACCAAAGTAAGATACATTTCTATAAAGTGTTGTGCCGAATTTCACACCCGCAATCGGGTCATGTGTGCAACTGAATTCGAGAGTGACATGAAGTGTGCAACCCAAGTTGATAGTGAGACATGACAACTTTCACAAACATTTTCATAAGTGGCATCTGTACCAAACGGCAGCACAGCTTTGTATATACAAGCTCTGTGTCTACGTCAGCTCCAAACCAGCTCTTTTACCTATTCCCCCCAATTTGGAATGTTTGCTGTGGCTTCATTGACCATTCTCACCAGAGTCACCTGTATGTTTAAATTTTTTTCTACAGGTCAATGAGATGAGATGGAATATGCAGGGGGAAAGCTCAGAAATTTAAGGTTATTCTTTTTCTTCCCTTTTTTGATTTCTTGGTAAGATTTGAACCAATTGACAACCTACCCCAACCACATAACACCACTTATCACTAGAGCTAAAGTGCAAGCGGGACTGGGTACTGGTACACTAGTTCGCATAAAATTTATCGGTCATACCTAAATGATAAGCGGCACTAAATGATTCTATATATCATGTTTCAGCAATTTTTTAAATATCCAGCCATTCTCTTAAACCAAAAAATCTCGCCAGTTATATCAATTATTTTCCATTCACTAGTGTAACCAATTATGCAGCCACACTACTAGGTGAGATGATACATACCACGCTTTCTGGAACACCAGCCGGAGGCATAGGAAGGTTTCTAGGTGGTGCAACACTATCGTAAGATCTTTTGTCAAATCTCCATTCTCCAATCTTTCCGTATGTTAATTCACCCTGATATCAGAAGACAAAAATCAGACATTATCAGTCAGCAGCCAAGCATTGCACAAAAAGAGCTGCTAGCTCTCATTTCTTGAAAACTGAAAACAGATATTGGGCATTTAATCAAACTGTCAGAAACAAAAAATTTCCCCATATTCTTCTCCATAGACACTGCACATTAAAGTACACAAGTGCTTGTCGAACAGGTACCTTCATATTATAGTCACATCCATAAGTGTAATGAATTATGAACTTCTTGCCAATCTCTTTATCCCATGGAGGCTGATATACATCAGAAAAACAGTAATACTAGTAAGTTAAACGGTAGCACAATCAAACTTTGTAAAGCAATCAATTGATCTTGTAGAAGGTAAAAAGTGGCTACATTTAGAATCACATACTAACTTGCAATTATGAAGACTGCACATTATAAGGAAAGAAAAGGGGAATAACATCCCAGCTAAACCTGAATCATGAAGTCCTTGTACAAGATATTACCAACACCATGTAGAGCGGATGCAACAGCATAAGCATACCTATATCATGATGCAAAGCTAGTCAGGAAGCTTTTTGATAACTAAGTTTAAGAAGTTGGGAACATGCTGTAAGGTCACCAAAGAACTAAGTTAACTAGTGAGAGCTCACATTTCAAGCACCCAACCAAAAGCTTTGTCTGTTTCAGGATCCTTCTTCATTGCCAAAGAAATATTCATCCAGGTGGGAGCAATCTTCTTAAGAGATTCCTAACAATGATGGATTTAAAAAAAGTCAAACCACCAGAAACCTAAAGAAAACTTATTATAACTGAGAGATGACAAGTTTAAATACCTTCCCAACAATGACGGGAGAATTTCCAATAGGATCAATGTTAGTTATTGGTCCCTTGTTCTCAGGGAAGTATTTCCGGAGTACTGACTCATACGTTTTAGGTTCAATGTAAAAGAAAGGAAATGCAGCTCCAAGCCCATCAGTGGACAAGTTCGGTATGGGCTTGACAATTATATGATCTGGCTCAGACATCAGTATATAACTGCAATACATGTTAAGAAAAGCAGCATATAAGTCAAACCTAACAAAAACACTGAAGATGATTGATTTATTGAATTCAGAAACTAGGCAGTGAAGCATCTCGTACTCTTCTTTGATGTCTGCTTGCTGAAGCCATTGTACAAATGCCCATGGTCTATTCAGAACTATATAACCCTGTGATTACAAGATGGGAGGTAAGCAACGATTCGAAGGTAATTTCTAGTAAGATGACAGTTACAGAGGATTTATACTCAATCATCATGAGAACTTATCCATTTCTTTCTTAAACAGGCTGCTTGAAGGACAGTTTAAATTCTTTTGGGTTCTGTAATTTAAAACTTTAGATTGAATAATATATATCATGGGGTAAGTTCATGTATAACAAAAATGCCTCACTAAAATAACAATGTCTCCAAAAGCAACAGCTCAACTTGAGCTTAATTAAATGTAAACTGAACCAAGCTACTCTGACTTATATAAATCACAGCGCTCTAAATTAGCGTAGTTATAATTTCTTATTTTCCTCATAAACCCTTCTTATTCTGCTCATGAACCATAACAATGTTAAGAATTAGAATCTAATTTCTTCATTTGCGACATTTGTTCAGCAACCCAAAATACCAAACCAAAGAACAATCTTCACCAAAATAAAATTAAAAAATATGGAAAATAAAAAATTCAATTCAATTAACACCTTCCAGAAAAAAAAAATGGATGAACAACATTCATAAATAAACAAAAATAAAAGAAGAGCTAAGCATAGAAAGACCAACCCGATCCATTCCAGCAGGCAAAGGCTGAGCAACAAAGGTTGGGATCTCATCCATGTACTTGTCAGGCTTCCCAGAGTGCAAGATCCTAGTGAACCCACCCATCCCTGAATTGGGTTCGTTCTGAAACTTCTTGAACCAGTAGTACATGATCCTACACTGCCACGTATTGTACACAGAGTCGGAGGCTGTCACTGCCGTATGGAACAGTCTCTTGGAGCTCCCTAATTTCCCTCTCGATCTGTGCAATGGCATCTGGATAATGGGGTCCACAGAAATGGACGACGACGATGATCTTGATGGGCCTGGGAGGTCTTGCTGGAGTGGTGAATTAGCTGAGATTATTATGTTGTATGTTATCAGAGCTACAGAGAAGGTCACAAGTATCGTGAAGAAGAAATTGCCGCAACCCATTTTCGTCTCTCTAAAGCTTTCTCTCTCTATTTCCTGTTTTGCTGTTTCTCTGTGTCTGATGAAGAAGATAGAAAAATGGCAACTTCAGAAAGTCGTCGTTGTGTTGTGTTGATCAGTAGCAGGTGAAGAAAGTGGCTGGCTGGACCATCTTTCTTGCCAAACATATTATTGGGCCTGGGCCTTTCGTTTGTAGGTTGGTTAGTTAAGTAATTAGAGATGCCTAACAAACAATTATTATCTTAATGAACTTCTCGATGCATTCAACAACTCAAGGTCACGTTAAGAAAAACCTATCAAAGATAGCATCCAAAAGAAATTATTGTGTGGTAATGTAGTACCGGATATAGTCACGTATATATTATAGTATGAATAGATGAGTTTGATTCTATTGAAGTTTTTTTTTCTTAATACAAGTGATTGTCTAAATTATAAGAGGAGAGAGGTTTCTTACACACACATAACTAAGATGCTATTAGAGTTTGAACCTGACTACTGGTTTGCAAGTCAAAGTCATTTTTCACTAGGCTAGACCCCGTTAACCCATTACAGATTTTAAGTTAAAATGTTATTAAGAACTTTTAATCTCAGTCATTGAATTGCATATGTGGATATTAAAAAATATTTAACTCACTAACTATATGTACACAAACATATCTAGTGAATGCCTAAAATTATAGAATTCCTTAACTAATTCTTATGAAAAAATCTTTATTATTGGAGAAGCTCCCCGAATGGATTAGTAAAGTCAACGTGCTATACAAAGGGTTTTTATTTATTTTAATAATTCTATTTTTTATGCATTACTAATCAATAGTTAAGTGCCTCGAAAAAAAAACAAAAAATCAGTAGTTAAGTGCACTTAGAGCACTTTCAGCGCTGGAGGCTGGTCGGGGCAAAAGGGTGAGCCCCATATTGCAATTCCAGCTGGCCGAAGTAGTCCGGGCCTGGTGATGACAGCAACTAATTAAAATAATAAAAAACTGAAAAAAAACAAAACAAAACAAAAAACAAAACAAGAAAAAAAAACCATAACATTCAGAATTTTTTTAAAAAAAATTATAAATACCTAGCCATATTATTTACTTCCCACACCAAAACCCTAAACCCTATCAAAATTAATCGTTTATGTATAAAAATAAAAATAATTTAAAGTGAATAGTAATTGTCATTTGCTATGGCAATGAATGAAAACACACTTTACCTTTTGTAATGGCTAACACTATTCATATGAATAATAATAGTCATTCCCTCCTCTTGTCCTTTGCTATGACAAATGAATGAAAGTGTTCTTAATAGTCCCTTGAGTTTAAAAGAATGTTACTGACAATGACCCAACATCAACATCGAGAAGTTTGGGAATGCTTTGCAGCCCCAACAGCCATAAGGGCACTTCCAGCAGTGGGAATCTTGCCATGGCAAGGGGGGGCTAAGGCTGACACTATTCATGGGAATAATGTCTACCCTTGCAAAAAGTAAGTTGCACTTCCAGCAGTTGCCATGGCAAGGGGGGTACTATTCAATTTTTTGTTTTTTTCACAAATTTGTTTACCTAAACAATTAATTTTGACAATATTTTCGGATGAGATTTTATGATAATGACGGTGAATGAAGTGAAGTGAAGAACATTTTAAAGATTTTAATGTTTATGTGTTTATGTTTAGTTCTGTTTGGTTTTTTTATGCTTTGGTTGTGGTTTGTTTGTTTTTATATATTTAATGCTTTGGTTGTGGTTAGTTTTTTTATGTATGAAATGTTTTGAATAAAAAGGAATTTTATTTAATAGTTTCTTTGATAGAGAAAAATTAAACTTGAAAGTGAAAAAAATTTAGAGTTGAAAGTGAAAAAATTATTGAGTAGAAAGTGAATTTGTTGTTAAAAGTGAAGAGTATGGATTGGTATTTATAGAAAAAAAATTCAGTATTTTTTGGGATTTTTTAAAAAAAAATTTATGATTTTTTTCATAATTTTTTGCTTGAAAAATTCCAGGCCGTTAGATTTGATGAAAAATCGGAAATCGGAAGGACCAGGTTGCGCCACGTGGCAGCGGAAAGAAAAAAAAATGATTTGCGCCTACTGACGTCAGCGCGCCTTCGGGCTGTAGCTCACACTCCTCCTGCCTTCGGGCCAGCCCAGGCTCATGGACCCCACCCTACCCGAGCCAGCCTTTGTTGCTGAAACTTGCATTTGGGCTCTTTCGCCCTCGCCCTCGCCCTCGCCCTCGGGGGCTGCTGGAAGTGGCCTAAGAGCAATTAATTATTGAAAATTTTGAAAATGAAATTGTGTGTCAGGCATAAAGGGTCATTCTCATCAATAAGTATGGGAGAGTCACGAACTAACTGATCCACGAGAATCTTTGGTATGTGATATGTCACCTCGCGGTCCATAAATTTTGCCACAGAAGGCAGATTAGCTTAATAGAGCCACACACATCTAACTTCAAATTTTATTTTTTATTTTTAAAAAGTTGAGGAACTCGGATATAGCCCAAAAAGAAACTCAAGCATTAAGTATTATCTAAGCACTCGGATTTTATTTTTTCTCATTGTCTTGCAATAGTTGTGTTTATTGTTTATATCTTTTATTGTTTACCAGAGCTCTTTATGGATAGGACTATGTTCTTGTAATGCAATTTTATTAATGAAATTGTTGCGGCTATTAAAAATACTAAGCACATGTGTAAGTACTAACTTGTATTTATTTAATATATACAAAAATCGCAACTTTTTATTATGATTTAACTTTATGAGGCAAACAAAACACTACTTATAAGTCATAATTAATTAAACATATACAAAAATCCTAACTTTATAAATTGAAGGCATACAGAGGAAATTGATACATGCAACTCGCAAAAACGAGTGAGCAAGCCATCGATTATGGGGGGCAGAGAGGAAGCTGAGATAAGCACGACGTGGTTATCCTTCGTCCGGCCCATTTGATTGCAAAACAAGGATAAATCCCCTTCCCCATTTTCATCATCCATCTGATCTGACCGAGTTCAACAAAGGAGAAACGTCAATCAAACTAATTCCCCCATTTTATAGAGCTTCTCATCTATGAAATGTCTAATTTATAAAAATAAAAGCATCAACCAATAAATGAAAGAACTACTAAAGTATTGTTGCTAACCATATTAGTAAACTTGAAGATCAAGATTTCACTGAAGGATCACGCTATCTCTCAACGGTTTCCCTTACACGAGGGAACCGATCCACCCATTGAGAATATCCTGCAACACATAGAGAAGTAAAAATCAGACTTCTTAAAATAAATAAGGGAGAGAATTCTTGCTTCAAGGATGATGATACTAAAAAATTTATCCCCCACCCACAAGAACAAATGAGTAAATTTTCTAAAAGTTCCAAAGAAACAAACCTTGCGTTACAATCTCAAGAAGATCCATTTCTGATTTAGCAGCATCAGACATACCCTACAATGAAGTTGACAACGTAAACAGCGTGGTAAGATCCAAGCACACTTCAATTTGGCTACAACAATTAAAAACTCTTGTTCAATGAAATATAAGAGTGTGCCGTATTCACAATGTCCAAAAACCATCCTACTACTGGCCAGAAGTTGGAGGCCAAACTGCCTCAGTCTCTATCTTAAACATGTACACATACACATAAATATACATATATATTGTGTACATATATGTATACATAATATGCAAAGCATATCACATCATGCAGTATACCTGTCCCCATGAAGCCAGACTTCTTGCAATGAGCCGAGACAAACTATCAAGAGTGCTGTCATCAAAGTTAGGATGCTTAAGAAGAGCCTTCTCTGATGTAAAATCAAATAGCAGTGCGCATATGCTTGAAGCCATCATAATAGTTGACGGGTCATTTATACCCTCTGAAATCAGTGTACAATAATGATTAAGATGCAAACCTAATGATATTTCCTTTGCATGAAAGAAAGCTGAAAATATAGGAGGTTAGAGCACACGTAGAATGAAAATGGATACTGATAATACATCCTAAGCTCACTATCAACTTTGGAACAACATAATGAGCCCACCACTGATAATGAACTACTTGAAACAAATAAACAACCCCTTAAAAGTAGGGAATCTGTAAGTTAACCCAAAGATAAAAAATGAATCGGACTCCAAAGACAGAAAGACATAACAAGAAAGTGAAATTAAGACAGTTTGGCAAAAGAAAAAGATATTTGAGATTGAGGGTTTCTAATTCAAAGACAAAAAGATGTTTCCAATGTTTTTTTTGGTTTTCAAGAAGAAAAAAAAGGTTTTTTGGTTCTGTTTTTCTGGATTTATCAACTCTTTTGCTCCTGAAATCACATATCAGGTTTAAGAGTTGAGAGTAAAAGGGGTACTCTCCAAAATCTTAACTAATTTCATGAGATGAAAAAAAAAAGGGGTACTCTCTCTCCAAAACTTAATGCTTTCAAAAGATGAACTGGATACCTATCCAATATGATCTTAATGCAACACACCAAAGGCACAAGGTATCAACATTATTAATGTTCCAAAAACAACAATACCACTAGAGCAGTACGGAAACCAAAGAATAACTGATTTTCACAACAATAAACCGTTACAATTCACGTATTAAAGGTAAAGGAAGTCAATAAAATAGTACCTGTCCAAAATGCAAACGCTTTCAATAGATTAACAAGAGTTGAATCATCCAATGGGATTCGCAATTGCTCTTTCTATTTATGAAAAGAAACAGAAGATGTTCATAAGTTGCATATAAGAAGTAATATATTGGTATAAAATGATGATTACCCTACCTTTAAAAGAAGATTCAACATTGTGTCACATGCCAAAAAGATGCAGCCATTATCCTTGACCATATAACCATGTGGCCCAATCAATTTTACAAAGCAATCAACAACCTGCAAGTAGATTTAATATGCTGCTGAATTGCTTTTGAAGACTTAAAATATAAAAATATAAAAAATTCGAGACTACTTGAATATGCTTGTTAGGCCATTACACAAAATGGAAGAAAGTAAAGAGCAAGGATTTTATATAGGATAAAAATGACAGACTTACAGAAATATGGCCTCCACAAGAAATCAAAGCTTTACATCCTTCAATCTCCATTGTCATTTGGCACAGCAAAGGAAGCAAAAAGCATATAGAGTAGAAGGGGCTGTCATTTAGACAATATTATAAATAAAGATCATTTTCCGAGATTATAAACTCCTAAAGTTTATCCGCCTATTAGACAATAACTATTCAGAGTTAATATACCTTGGTTCATCTTCACCTTCAATGGAAAGCATATACTCTAAAAGTTCTATAACTTTCTCTTTGCATGCAACAGGTGTTTCTGCAAGATAGCTGAAACACACATATTAGCTCAACAGTATATCATTGCTGATCCATATATCAATTAATTAAGGACATAAATTCGTCTTGATCAGAGACATATACTAAATGGGTCCTCATAACATGTATAGGCAGAACCCAATAACTGCCCCAGAATGGATCCAACATGAATGCCATAACTCTCAAAGCTTAGACTGAACTTTCTTGGTTGTTTATTTCAATTGGACCGTACTAATATTAACATTATTTTAAAACTTGGCATAATGTGAACATACATATGTGCAGAAGTATAGTGACCTCTGATATCAGTACCAGAAGTTTTCCAAATAAAAAATTTAACAAAACAAAGTTGCCTATGTTATCCATGAATTTCGCCAATATATTAACTGGTAGACGCAATAATACCTCCCAATAATCCTCACTGAAGCAAGAAGATCATCTCCCTTCCTCTGTCCATGTTCCTGTAGAATCGTAATGTGCTTAGAGAATAGAAAGTAATCTCTAATGCTACAAAATCAATACACTTACCTTTGCATCTAGTAAGTACTCTAGAACTACACCAATTGTCTCATTAAGGCCCTTAATCACCTTCATGAAAGTATTTTCATCAATAATGTCCCCTGAAATTGCACAGAGATTATTAACATCATTGTCTGAAACAAGAGAAAATGTATACTGTACAAACACCTTTCTTGCAAGTCAACAAAAAAAAGAGGAGATAAAACTGAAGAAATTACTATATATAAAAGGCAGAGAAACTATAAAATTAATGTTTCACAAACATTCCCATGCTTCATAGTTCAGAATCCTATAAAAGAATAATGAGAAGATTATGATTGTTTTCCTCAAAAACTTTAGATATTGACATAACTTCCAAGCATGCAAATCTGGCAAATATGGCATACCTTCATTCTCGCTGGCATTTGATATTAAGCTAATTATCTTTTCAAGCAAAGAAAAGGCAATAGCCACATTCCGTTTCTTTGAAACAATTGTCTCTGCAGGGGCTGAAGACCTCTTGGATGCTTCATCTTTCAACTGGGCAAGCTCATTAAGGAGAACCGCAACTTCAACCCTGGATTGCTCCAGTACAAGCACTAAGCACCTGAAAAATTTAAGGCACAAGAATGGAGAGTCAGGCCCGCCCAATAAAATCTACACACATAAAGATAATCCACACTTGGGCATGCAGACGTGTATATATAGATTTGTGCAGATGGCTTAAAAAACCATCACCAGGCAAAGCAGACCTGTCAGCTGGAATAGGCTCTTTCACGCCAGGTAAGTTGATATGACCTATTAACCATCGTTCCCCGAATATTGTCATCATATAATCAGCCAGTATAAGTGCCTGAAGCTTTTCAGTAGGTGCTGCCATTAAATGACAAGAAAATAACATCAATAAGCCTCCAACTTTTATTCAAATTAACAGGGGAAGAAAAAAAAACACAAGTCCAGCTAAAATTTTTATTTAAAAAAAAACTAGGGAGAATGCCAAATGCCAAAGTATTGAAAACAATTAGTTCAACATACCAACACGGTTTTGTAGAATGGCCGCAATACCATCACGCATATAATTTGGCAAATCTTTTTCTGGTAGTACACGAAGAGAATCATAAAGTGGTGCCTGAAAATACCATAACTAGTTTTAAAACTACTGATATCAACAGCACATAAGGCATAGTTAAGGATTACAAAAGACAACGGAGAAACTTTGCACCCAGCAATTTAATTGAACCTAAAAGACCTTATTTTGTCCAACAATCAAACTTGAAAAAACCATTCATCAATTAAGTTAGAATGTTCAGACAAATAACCTTTTTTCTGGAAAAGAGAGATGCACAATGATTGCATACCGAATATTTTGATGAGAGGATGGCAGACAGTAGGTGGAGCGCATCAAATTTTACAGCATTATGCAAGACAGCAAATTGTCTTGTTATTGCAGCCACCTAAATTAAAACAGAAATAACTTAAAGATCATATACCACTTCAGAAAGACTACAAAATGGAGTTAAAAAAATTCAATACTAAAGAATAGTAAATTAAAAGTATATCTAGAAACTGAACTCACAATCTTTGAGAGCTCTGGAACGTAGTCTTGGTTAATGATTTCAAGAGACAGTTTATTTAGTATCAATTGCACGAGTTTCATAGAAAGCTCCATCTGATGAGAACCTGTACAAGTTTTTCATCTCATCAGTCCTTTGTAATTTGAGACTGATGAAGTAATCTCATAAATCACCAAGGAAAACTGTTTTCTTATCAAAATGGACAAAAAGATACTAACAGTATAGCAGATAACTATCACCAATGACACATACGTTACAGTTGCCCCCATTTCCATAATGCAATAGTTGTAGCATGCAATAACAGATCATCAAGATTCCTATAGGGTTGTTGAGCAAGTCCAGTAGAAGATAAAAATAATTACCGTCTGGGAAAATGGACATATGAGAAGCCAGCATATTCATGCCCCCAGAAGTGTAAAATGTCATGATTCCGTCTTCGGAAGCTGTTGACACCAAATACAGAAATTCATAGCATTCTTCAAGAACAGCTGATCCTGGCCTGTATTCTCACCAAATAAAATGATACGGTTAATTAAGAAAATGAAAATCAGCATTAACCAAATTACGTAAACAACAAAGTCATACAGAAATCAATGTCATATTAAATGTTGATCATGAATCCATACGGAATAAATATAACACCACTCTAGCACCCAATCCAATATAAGAACCTTACTCTGTGGATAAAACTTCCAGTACCAGTGGAATCTTCGAAACCATGTCGTTTGAAGCAGCAATTTCCGGAACATGACAGAATGCAGCAAGAACAGTAACAGACAACCGCAAATATGCATCGCGATTTTCACTTCCGCTGCTACTAATGCTTCCTTTTCCCATCCCTAACCAAACAAATCCAAAATTCCACTTATGATTCATCATTAAAGATCGAAATTAACTTCGAATTTACTTCTAATTTGCAAAAATTTGACAGCAAGTGATAATTTAACAAAAAAGAGTTTATAGTTTTACCAGTCCTGAGCAGACGATCGAGAAAGCCGACGCCGACGGCATTGTAAATGGTTTCGAGAGAGGATAAGTCATCGCCTTTGAAAAACTTGGTGACGAGAAGAAGGCCGGCGAGTCGCTGTTCGTCTCTCTCGCCCTTCAACAGCTTCAAGCAATCTTCGAGCGGCGGAGACTGTTTGTCTTGCTGGGGCTCCTGAAATAGAGAGAGACATGAAGAAATTTGAGAGGGTAAGAGAGATAGAAATAGAGCGATAGAGAGATGAATAGAGGGATTAGCTTGGTTACCATGAGAGATTGAAAGCGGAGAAGCTTGATGGCCGAAATGAAAACCAGAGAAAAAAAAAACTGGAGATTTTTGGAGGGTTTTTTGAACTTCAGGAGGCTTCCAGGCTCGCCCTCTACTCGATTTTTCAATTTGTTTTTTGAAAATCGTATAACCGTGCGGCTTTACTGGTTTTTTTTTATTGCATTTAATAAATCGTATAGCCGAACGGCTATACTTATTTTGACACGTGGCGCCTAATCGGGGAGTCTCTTTTTTTTACTTTTTTTTTTTTTTTTTTTTTTTTTTTTTTCAAATGGTAGAGCCGAACGGCTTTACGCGCTGTTTTAAAAAAAAAAATTTAATTAGTATAGCCGCACGGCTATAGAGTTTTGACACGTGAAACAGAGGCGCTGTGCGGCTACTCTGTTTTATTTTTAAATAAAGATTATAGCCGAACGGCTATACTTGATTTTTTAATTTCTCCTTTAAAAATAGTTTAAGCCGGGCGGCTTTACGGGTCTTTTTTTGTTTTACTTGCCTTTAATAAATAATATAGCCACAGGGCTATACGTTATATATATATATATATATATATCAGTTCCAAGAGTCCAAGAGATTGTGATCACCTACCGTTGGATATTAATCCAATAGTTTAAAAAAGTTTATTAAAATGAGTGCAAGAATGAGTGAACCGTTCAATTTACATCCAACGGTGAGTGACCACAAATCTCTTGGATCCCTGTAATCATATATCTATATATATATATATATATTGGGATCCTTTTTTTCCATTACCCAAGTCTCTATTATCCCCTTTTAATTTTGTACTTTTCCACAGTCATTACCCATATAAAGAATTTAGCATTTTCACGTTTAATACTCTATTATACACGTACGTACGTATTTTTTTTAATAATACATCCATGTTCTGTACACATCTTAAAGACTTAGTAAAATTCACGTTTTTAAAAAAATAAACGTACAATACTCATATTGTACATGTACGTACATATTTCTCATGTTCAATACACTTATTTTTTACAAAATTTTCAATAAGACACAAAATTTACCTATTATACAAATAATTCTCACATATTATTGAATAAAAATTATATATATATTAAAATATTATATAGTGGGCGATTAATATCTGCTTTGGATATGTTGAAACTAGCAAATTAATATCTATAAAGTATAAACTAATGCAACTAGGAGGGTGCTTTTTTTCTTAAATAGTATAGCCATGCAGTGATACTATGATTTTGTTTTTAAATAATAGTACTAGCCACTATGACTATACGTACCTTTGACGACGTTTAAGGTTTTTTTTTTTTTTTTTTTTTTTTTTTTAAAAAAAGGTACAGCCGCACGGCTCTACTTGGTGTGTTTAGTTTTTATTTTTAAAAATAGTGTAGCAGCTTTGTACAGTACCGTGTACTGAATGATCCTTGATTGGACTAGGCCTGCACGACGTAATGTGCCATAACAAAGACGTCAAAACGACCAAAGTTTCCTTTAAAAGGACACTATGATTTTGTTTTTTAAAATAGTATAGCCACTTGACTATACGTATTTTGACACCGTTAAGAGGTCTTTTTTATAAAAAAAAATTGGTACAGCTGCACGACTCTACTTGGTGTGTTTAGTTTTTATTTTTAAAAATAGTGTAGCCGCTTTGTACAGTACCATGTACTGAATGATCCTTGATTGGACTAGGCCTGCACGACGTAATGGGCCATAACAAAGACGTCAAAACGACCAAAGTTTCCTTCAAAAGGACCATAAGAAAGACTTCAAAAGGACCCCAAAAAAATACAGCCCATACCAATTGCTGTATGGTAGATTAATTTGTTAATTCAACAACAATTTTTTTTATTTTATATATATTTTTTTTTGGCCAACTTTAGAGCATTTCCACTTGGAAGGCACCAACCCGAGCAAGAGGCCCACTAGATCCTCAAATGTGTTTCCAGGGCCCAAGTCTTATCAAGGCAAGAGCTGGGCTCCATCAACCTGGGCAAACCCAAAGGCATGACTTGCATGGGCAAGCTGATCTAATGTTGATGTCATTGTGACGTACGCAGCCAATTTAAATAACAAAAATTTTGAAAAATGAAGGAAAAAATACCAATATTTTCAGAATTTTTTTAAAAATAAGGGTGAATTACTCAAATGGTCCTCAAATTTGTACAAGATTTACATTTTGGTCCCTAAATTAAATTATTAGTCCAAATGGTACATAAACTCTATTTTAATCGCCAATTTGATCCAACTGTTACATTCTGTCAATGTTGCTGTTAAATATGAGGGCAAATTGGTCATTTTGTACGTTAAAAATAAATAAATGCTAAAAAATAAATAAAAACTCTCCCTCCCTCTCTCTCTCTCTCTCTCTCTCTCTCTCTCTCTCTCTCTCTCTCTCTCTCTCTCTCTCTCCCATGGCCACCAAACCCATCCAACAACCACCCTCCTCTCTCCCATGGCCACCAAACCCATCCAACAACCACCCTCCATCCCAAACCAATCTCTCCATTTATAATCCGCTGACCTCTTAATTCATTCAGCAAAATCTCATCTCTATCAAATTGCCTTTTATTTCCAACGTCATCCGCCCGCACTCATAAAACATTTCTTAGGCTCCAGATTTTTGTTCAACATCATCTCCAGTTCTATATTCATTTGTGCATTTCATTGAACACATGAGAAGCAACCCATGATGCAGAGCATACAAATCCCCCACCCCACCTCCGCTCATTTCTTTTTTACCCCTGAACCTATCCGTAGCAAGCATTGGCTAAGAGGATCTGTGCCCCAACCATCTTGGTGGAGGTGGTCTCCGACCAACTCCTCAACACCATCCTTCGAAAACTGAAGCTAAACCTGGTAGCCTGCTTCAGCTTTTTCAAATTGGCTTCAAAGCAGCAAAAATTTAGGCCCAACCTCAAGTCTTATGGTATAATTGTACATATATTGCCAAGAGCTCAAATGTTCGATCAAATCATAGTGTACTTGAACAAATTGGTTGGCCTCTGCAATAATAATTATTCAGCCTCTATGGTATGGGATGAGCTTGTTAGGGTTTATAGGGAATTTACCCAGAACCCCATCTCAACAACCACTCAGACCCTCTCCCCCTCCCCATTGATTTCCCTTTGTTGTTGAGAGACAACCACCCACCACCCTCCTCCCCACCTTATCACCCGCCAACCCCACCTCTCAAAATCACAGCCACTGTCAATTTTTCATGTGCTCGATGAGGTTCCCAGTAGTTCACAAATTGGGTAGTAAAAATGAAGAAAAATATTAACTTTCAGGAAAATTTGTGATTCCTCTTGACGTTCTTAGCCAAAGAACCCAAGAGTTTTTTCAATTCCAGAACATAATCGAATGGCATTTGCTTGTCAGCTTCAACTTTTTCATCCCCGTTTGCTTCCAAGATGCTTATGTGTTCAGCATGAAGAATAGAGTCCAAGCACCTGCAAATTAAACAGCTTTTGGTTATTCAATATGTCTTTGTTTCTTCCAGCCATTGAAATGGGTTCAATGGGATTACGAAGAAAGAAGAAGAAAGTATTGCATAGCATCATCTTCATCGCCATTTTTGTATTTTATATTTATTTTAACCCTATTTTATTTGTTAATTGTGAAAAGTCGTATTTGCCCCTAAAATTTGGTTACATTTAACATAAAATGTAACGGTTGGATCAAATGGGCGATTAAAATAAAATTTATGTATCATTTGGACTAATAATTTAATTTATGGACCAAAATGTAAATTACGTACAAGTTTGAGGACTATTTGAGTAATTTACCCTTAAAAATAAATACCTAGCCATATTCTTCAGTTTCCACACCAAAAGTCTATACAAATCTCTCTCCTCATATTTCATGTAAATAGTCGTTGTCATGGCAATGGGTGGAAAACCAACAAAAAAAATTGCTAGACATACATTATTCATGTAAATAGTAACAGCTCTTGCCTCTCCTTGCATTTTCCCATGGAAAATTGGTGGAAATGAGGTGTTTTTTTACACACTACTAAGATATTATGAGGGTTCGTACCTAATACCATAGATTAGATTCTGTTAGCAAAATTATACATGTATTTATTACATATACTATTTAAATCGCATTCGTATCCTTATTTTTTGTTTAGAATTTCAGAATCATTTTTGTGGACTCATATCAATGTATCCGTGGTTATTAGCTAGTAGAGCAATAGCTAGTTGGTTTAGCATCTTAGCGGATGAGGTTTTTTTTTTTGTTTTTTTATTGTGCTATCATTTGCATCTCTAGGAGTAGCAAGTATGTTCCACGCTGCATTTGGGTTGTGAACGTACCAGTTTTTACATCTTCAAAACTGCAAGGTGCATCTTAATGTAACCCTAGTATAGAATGATGAACGATTTGATCTAACGGCTACAAACGTGTTCCCATACAAGCAAATTCGCGTTTGATCTAATGATCAACCATACTTGGACGGCTGAACTGCAGGCAACTTATGAGCTAAGAGCCTCAAGACAAGAAGAGGCTTCACCTCCACCTTCATGGCATGCGGCGCTGATAATTTATTCCTTGCTTATCCATTGAATATAATATCCACAAATCACATCCCAACACCTGGCATTAAGTGATAAACTTCATGCTCATGCATGCACATGATCGAAAAAGGGCAAAAACCATATAAGACAAAATATGGATTGGTTGGATCATGTGCTTTTGGCCACATTCGGTTGGATATCATTAGTAGATAAGATAAGGTTTTAAGAAGCTGACTCCACTAAGATCACTTCCACCCCACAAGGGCTAAGTCTAAGGTAAGGGCAAGCAAGGGTTGTCACTATTCACGTGAATAGTGTCAGCCTTTGCATTTGTAGTTCCATCCATGAGAGCTAAGTTTAGGGCAAGTCTAAGGCAAATACTATTCATACGAGATATGAGAAGATGAATTTGTATATAGTTTTTGGTGTGGGAAGTAAAGAATATACTTAGGTATTTATTTAAAAAAAATTTTTTTGGTTTTTTTTTTTTTTTTTTTTTTTTTTTTTTTTTTTTTCTTTTTTTTTTGGGTTGCATCAATTTGCCCTGGCAGCAGCTCGGGCTGAATTTGCCCGTGGGCTTGCCTGGGCTCGTGGGACCCAGCTTTTGGCAGGGCTGGCCCTTGCGCGCTGGAGCTACTTCCTTCTCCCCTGGACTACCTTTTGCCCAATTTTGAAGCAAGGGTGGACTTGCTCTAAGAAAACCAGTCCTTGGTTTCTCATAAACCAGTCAATCCACATTTCTTATTTCTTTCTTTTGGTCTCTACCTTATATATTTTGTTTAATCAGCTTGGTAAATCAACCTATAAACCCTCTTTCATATTTAGCAACTATATCATAAACTTCAGTACACATATTAACAACTTACTATAATAATTTGACGTAATTTTATCGTTACATAACACGGGTTGTAAATGTGATCTTTTTAATATTTGCTTTATTCGAAATAATGCATTCTTAGAAAGTAAGTTTGACATATTTAAATATCTAAACCCATAATTAGTTTGTCTCTTCTTTTTTAAAACCCATATTCAAATACAACCATGCTTACATTACACAATAGTTTTCTAAGTTTAGAGACTAATAAAAAGGCAAAAAAGCCAGATACATAACAAATACAAAGGTAACTCCCCGACTCCACCAATTCTCCAAAACGCGGCTTTTACACCCAAAAATAAAATAAAAGTTCAAAATTAAAGATATTTCATATAATTTTTTAAAAATAATTAAATAAGCAAATAAGCAAAAACCCGCTAAGAACCACGCACGATCCACGGCTTCTCCGCTTGTTCCAGCTACCTTCCCAGACCGCAAATGCCGCTACCACTCAACCCTCAACCTATAAATACCTCACTACCCGCTACCCCTCTCCATCAACCGAAATTCAAAATTCTGTTTGTTTGTTTCCCGAGAAAAACCAAAAGAAAAGAAAAGAAAATTGCACTCCAATTCAATTCAATGTCGAACCAGGGATATCGATCTCAATCTCCGACGAGCACTCTGCGCCACAAGCGTCAATCCAGGTCGATTTGCCTCCCGGCCTGCTTCTCCAGCATGAGCACTCACCCCTTCGATGTTCTCCAGAGCGAGGGCGACCACTGCAACAACTGCAGCAGGTCTCGGTCGCCGTTGCCGGAGATCAAAGACCGGTGCTTGAACCTCATCTCAAGGATCAGCGGTGGAGCAAGGCCCGGAAGAGGACGGCGCCGCTACGGCTCCGCCGACTTCAGCTACGATCCCTCCAGCTACGCCCTCAACTTCGAAGACGACACTAGCCGCGCCGACGATCAGCTCCTCTTCCACGGCTTCTCCGCTCGGCTTTCGGCCTCGTCCATCCCTACGACGTCGCACGAGAAAAAGACCAGCCCCAACCAGCTCGACGAAATTCTGGAGAACGAGGAGTGCTTTGTCGCGACGGCGGAGAGCAAGGGGACGACGAGCCAAGCAAACGGCGTCGCTTCAAGGAGGCGGGGGAGGAGCCGGCACTCGTCGACTTCGGTCGACTTCAGCTACGAGCCGTCGAGCTACGCGATGAATTTCGAGGACGATGTGAACCGAGACGACGAGCTTATCTCTCTGAGGAAGTTTGGCGGACTGCTGGCCCAGCCATCGCCGTCGAAGATGGCGGCGGCGGCGGGGGCTCCTCCGCCTGCCAAGTGTTCGACTTTGCGTCCGGAGATTGCTGCGTTTAGTTGAAGCTCAAATGCGGTTGCTTTCTATTTATATGCTCATATGATCAGGCCAGTGTGTCATCGTCGTCATGTGCTTCGGCTCTGCAAACTGTGTTGTGAAAATATTTTTACTTTCGAGCTTCCAGAAAGGGAAAGAGACGAAAGAAATGGGGAATGGGTCTGTCGGGGCAGATGCTTATTGGTCCGGCCCATGGAAACGAATGTTGACCCACATTGACCAAGGCAAGCACAAGCAAGCCGATGAAGGAAATATATTATAAAGCCCGTTCCTCGTCAATTTTATAATCTGGGCTGATGAGCCCATGAACTCGTCTTGTAAACTTTTATATTATATTTATATATTTATATTATTCTTTAGTTAAATAAATTTTGGAAGATAATGTCTTGATTTGAGTCCAAATTGGGTCAATTTCAAATTTCTTTTAGTTGTTTTAATTTGATTATTTTTGTTTTCGGGCCATTTTTTTAGCTAAAAGTCGGAAATTGAAGAGCAGAAATTGGTACTTCCATTTTTTTAGCAACTTAAGGATGAAACCTAATAAATGACAAGCAGAAAAAATTGTGAAAATTGGGAATCAAGATTCTCAAGTTTAATTTCCTCCAAAAGAGGCGTCATTTCGCAATTTCTATTGAGCCAAAATTCGTTTTTCACTTTAGTTTCTGTCATTTACAAAATTCGACATACATAAATCCGAACACTGAAATTATTAATTGCCATAAATTTAAACTGATGAAGATTTAAATTCTGTCATTTAAGAATTTTATGCAATTTTCAATTCCTTCTTTCAAACGGAGGGTTAACGATAAGTGACAGGTAGAAGAGAAATTAAACAATTAGTGGCAAGCACGAAGAAATCAAGTACAAGACAGAGCATATTAACAATCAATATAAAGCTTTCAGTTGGAGAACCACTATTTCTAAGATATTTATCAGTAGCACTGATCCCTTGTAGAAAACAAAATAGCAGTTTGGTGTTTTTAACTGTCAACTAACAGATGCCATGCAAGTCACAGCTGCAAATGGGGTGTTGGCAAATGGCAAAGTGGCAATTGGCAATGGCCGGCACACAAGAAGACCGACCCAGAAGATACTCAATGATCGAATCTCTCTGATCTGTCAAAAAAATTAAAGACATTAAAAAGAAAGCTTCAAACTCAAGCTCAAGCTCATAGCTAGCTAGCACTTCCGTGGTAGGAGGGCAAGTGTTTAATTATTAATTCAATACCAATATAAAGACTCACATTTCTCTTCAATTTGATCATCCCTTTTTGCATTAATCACATCTTTGATCTCAAATTCTCAATCCTCATATGGCAAACCCACCTGAGAAATTGGCCTCAATTCACGAAGTTTCTACACCACCGGAAGAGAGTTATGATGACTTTGATGAGGAAGAAATAGCTCCATCTTCTTCTTGTGGTTGTCTATGGGGATTTTACTTTAGAGCACTGCGTGGAAGAAGCAACATTGGAACACAGAGATATCTACTGCACCAACAACAAGAAGGAGATCAAATAAAAGAAAATTGGTTGGTGGATAATGCGAAGAAAGTACGAGAGTTTTCGGAGGTTTTGGCAGGACCAAAGTGGAAGAATTTCATCCGCTCCTTCAGTACAATTTACAAGAAAAGAAGGGTGCAATTTCAGTATGATCCGCAAAGCTATGCGCTTAATTTCGACGATGGGGGGTTTGACAGGAAAGTAGAAGGTAATTCGTACCTTCAATTTTCGAATGCCGAATATGCAGCTTCTCCAGGGATGAACAATGCCAAGTTCTGATTTGCTAACTCTCCCTGTCCTCATGTTTACTGTTGTTGCTCTTGCTCAGTTGTATATGTGTTTCACACATAGATGAAAATGAGCTACTTGTTTTGTTTATAGAGATGTTTATAATTCACTCTTTCATTTGATCTGTTTCTGACAAATTTATGAACAGCTAAATTTTGCCAGCACTTGATTGTTTTATGCTACTTCTTGTGTATAATTCTCTGGACATATTTTCTAAAGTTCTGTTTCTTGTTATGTTCTGTTATCTAATTTCTGTGGTAGTTGCCTCAGCTTCTCCAAACCAATGCCATCTAGAGAAACTGGTGCATGGTTTCTGCATATACTTCTGCACCCATAATACCAAGTCACTTCACAACACAATCAAAAGAAATTGAAACCTGGAGCAGCATGATCCATGCCATCTGGTTGCACGAAAGAGCGTCAACGATGCCACTCTAAAAATTTACATACCTTTATTTACTACAAATTCATCTCTACAACAAAATGCCATAAAGAAAAGCTATAATTTAATTTAATCACCAGTGTGATGTATGTAAGGAACCATGCTCAGGTCATTGCACTGTACACCCACCACAACCCCTCACTGTTCTTATTCACAGACATGAAGATCATAAACAAAAAATTGTAAGCCCTCTAGTGGACTATCCAATTCAGATTCAGTAACATAATTCCTAAATACTGAACTCCTAATGATATATGATACTACATGCATTTGATCCATCTGCAGCCTTTGAGCATACCTGTATAACGGCTCATATTCGGTTTATCATCCCAATCTCATAATAAGTGTTAGCCTTTTTCTTTCTGTAGAATCAAAATATGATTCTTTCACTTCAACCCTGTTGTCTTCTTCCATGAAGTCCTATTCTATCACAGTTTCTATGTTGAAATTATGGATGTAGTGGAAGACATGAACAAATAATCATTCCAGGAATGGCTCTCGTTTCCTTTTCTCCACTCATCCGAATCGATCACCGCTGTTTTCACCTGCATTACTTCTTTTTGAATTAAGGTTGGTGGGACGCTCATGAGAAATTTAAAGTTGAGAAGAATGCAAGGTTCAATGAACATACCTTTTGCGTTTGCTCTTCAAAACTGTGGAAGTTGAAGGATTGCTGTGCCAGTTCCTCTTCCTCTGATTGATGAACCAATTGTTTATCTGCTTTAATTGCAAACCAGTTTCCTGTACCAACCTAGCCTTGTCTTCCTCCTGAAAATTTATATGAAAACCATGGTAGTTAGGTATCGAAGAGCAAAATGTGAATGCAGTTGGCTTACTAAAGGATTGCCAAAGCAGTTTCAGCTTGTAGGCTAGGCTACAATTTTTCATTTAAACCTTTTTATATGTGTTCATCTTTAAGTAAGTATTCTAAAGACTCCCACACGCCTACAAGCTGGCAGTAAAGCCAAAAGACTTTCAAATGATAAGCATGCAAACTCAAAGAGGTTCTCATTAACCAATACTTACAGTTGGATATGGCCACTTTGAATGTGATTGCCACCAAGCTTTTAGCACAGAGGTGGTGTCACCAGGAAGCTTTCCAGCTCGTCTCTTGCGCAAAATTTCCTCCCGTATGTCTACGATTTTCTCCTTGTAACCCTGTGAAAAGTTTGCTCGGATTGGTAACAGAGGAAATGCAACAGATTTACACTCAACAATTCCATTTTGTTACCTGCTTCAGCTCATGCTTCAACTCTTGCCTCACACGCTCCATCAACGACCTTTCGCTCTCTGTCGGGATAAGAGGGCCGAATCCCATGCTGTCATGACCATCCATGCTTCCATCAAACAAGTTTGCATCGCTGTCGACTTGGTCGTCTTCATCATCAGACATCGTAGCACCCGTGCCTTCACCGGGGGAAACTCCTGTTCATCCAGTTTGTATAAGAAACTAAAACTTCGGTGCTCAAGAGCCATGATCACTACCATTACAGAAAAAAACATTACCTGTTAAGCTTTGTAGTGATTGCTCAATCTCCCAGCAAGCCATCACTGCTTCCATGGCATGCACCCGGACATGTTGTTGCAGTTGTTCTTTAAAAGAACAAAGCAACAAAACATAATGCCTCTATAAAATCATCAACAAGCAGAAACAATCAGAAACTATCAAAATTAAGTTAACAGATTGCTAATTATGGTAATTGGGTTTAAGCTTAAGGATCAAGAGAAGAACATCAGCAAATGACTTTGCAGAGGGCAAGAGTTGTCTTCTTGTGCTATGAATATCAGCTTTTGTCTTCCCGCATGTTTATTTTTTTCTGTTGTTATAAAAAGTTGGGTTTGTGTCACCCGAGACTCGCTTTTATTATGTTTAAACTTTAAATTATATCTGTCAACTGTAACAACAAAATTTTATATATATAATATATCTGTCAGCACCACCACTGTTCATATCTTGTAGCCTTAAAGCTTTTTCAGATCCCTACACCCCTATTTTTTCAAAATTTTCAGGAATCTTATTATTTCTTCTCATGGCCAGAAACATTTCAACTATGCCAAGTCCTTCCCTTGTACCACTAGACTAGTTTCCTCTGCTTTAGTGAATCCACCATCTCCAACCCATCTTGAAAATTAAATCCCATAACTTTTTTTGTTTAAAATTCAACAATTTAAACTTAACCGTAATAGTTAGAACTTGTTTGAGACTGATTCTGAAATTCTTAAAAGCGTTTTTTGACAATCAAAACTGCTTTCGTGCAACACAGAACAAAATTTCTCGATTCTCATTAACTCTACCCAAAATTGAAGAAAACTTTCTCATTTCCAAAGTGCAGAATTTGTAAATACTAAAATTCGTCTGTCCTACTATAATCTTACTCATTTGTGTTTTGATTGAAATTATGATGCTTAATAATTGTTCGAATTTTTTAAATCTTTTTTATAGTCGACTGGCCAAATTTGATGACTCATTAACAATTCAAAGCCGAGAGACACAAGTCAGCAAATTAAATCATCACAAATTCACACAAGCAATTTTTTTAAAAAAAAGGCATACCATGAACTGATCGAGCTCCTTATCATCGCCGACCATGCCGTGGCCCAAAGCCGAGTACTTAGCCACCACATTCTGCGACTGAGCCAGCTGGGCGTCGATCCTCGGCAGCTGGTCCACCGGCGTGGCGATCCGCAGGCAAGCCACGTGTGCCGACAGCAGCGGCTCGTACAGCGGGTGGGCCAGAATCTCCGCCTTGTGCCTTGCGTTCTGCCAGTTGATCATTCCGCCATCTCCGCCGCCGCCGCCGCTCTCCACGACGATGTCCGTCTTGTTGAGGCTGCTGTCGGGCTTGAGGTCGGCGGAGTCGTGGGAGATGGTGGCGGCGATCATGGAGTCGCCCGCGACGGCGGTGACGTCATCGATGACGTCGCTATGGTTGCGGTGGAGGATGGGGCGGTGGGGCTGTGAGAGCCATTGGTTGGAGGCCTGGGAGGTGGTGGAGTCGGAGGCGGTGACGTGCAGGTTGAGGAAATTGGAAGCGCCGCCGCCGCCGTTGTTGTTTGGGCTGTTGTTATGGTTGTTGTTGGCGTCTGCGTTGGTATAGTTGCGGAGGAGGGCGGTGTTGAGCCAATTTGGGGCGGGCTGAAATGGGTGGTGGGGCTCCGTGGGCTTGGAGTTCGGGTCGGGTTGGTCGGATTGAAATGGCTGGTGCTGTTGCTGGGTTTGGTCTGTGAAGTGGTGGAGAGGAAGGTCCTGCTGGGAGAGGTGGTTGTGGTACGCCATGATCGATGATCAGCTGAGTATTAAAGTAATTGCAGAGACAGAGACAGAGGACACTCTGTTTCTCTGTGTTTTACAAATTAAAAAGGAGCAATTGTAGACGATGATTCTGAGGACATGGATATGGAAATTTAGAAGCTTTCTGAGAGTATGAGAAGATAGGAGAGAGAGACAAGACAAAGATATATGGCTGGATTTGATTATATCTCTCTCTGTAGAGAGAAACTACACGGTCTGTGTGTGTAGAAACTTTGAGAGAGAGAGAGAGAGAGATGCGAGCTTTTTTGAGTTTTGAGGAGAGAGAGATTGAAAGGGTTTAGTTAAAGCTTTGAGAGCTTATATATGGGATGGTACCAAAAACGTATATGAGGAAATTGAGGAGCTGTTTAGAGAGAGAGAGGTTTTTGGACAGAGTGGTTTTCAGGCAAACAAAATGAGCTAGAGAAACTGCTTTAGCAAGAAAAAAAATGGTGGGATTTTGTGGCAGGTTTTAATATTAATTAAGGAGCAAAGGAGTCCAAGGGTCCCCTATTACTATTAAAAGAATATTTTATTATTATTATTTCACAATATGATATAGGAGTTGAAAAAATAGAAAATTCGGATCAAATAGTTGATTTTAGAATATAATGGTATTTTAATTTCTTTACAAAGAAAAATAATGGTATTTTTAATCTAATTAAGGGTAGCAAAGATTTCTTTAATTAAAAACAAAATGTTTGGGTTGAATGAGTGGAAATTTTATAAGACCACTTATTATTATTATTATTTTTCCAATTTAGCATAATATATGAGATTTACTATTCGGATAGGTTTTTTTTTACGGACTACTTGGGTAGTTGTGATCAATCCTTCTTTCACTTGATGAGAATAATACTAATCTTACCACATTTTTATATTACATGATGTAGCAGTTGATATGTACATGCCACATTAGCTAATTAATGTGATTAACACTTATTTATTTATTACATATTTTAATAATTTAATTAATGTAACATATGATATGATATGTCACATCATATAGTATAGAAATATGAGATAAAAATGTGGTAAATATAGCATTACTTTATTTTTAATTTTAAAAAAACTCACAACCAGAAGTTAGCATAGGTAAAAAAGAACAAAAAGTAAAATAACTCAATGAAAATCTTGGCATATTATTATCGTTGATGGGGATTAATTAAATAATCACTGATATGATGTTTACTTTTGTATGAAACCCCAATAAATAAAGATGATAAAGTTTTGTCCATTTGCGTAGACTTTTAAACATCCATAAATCGTATGCGATTTGAAATTAGAGGAACTATTAGAATTGAATTAGGTATTTGTCTAGACTGATACAGAATATTAATCCTTACAATTAGAATGGACAATAACCTAATCTCGTATAATAACCCAAAACACGAAATAATACTCTAATTAAATGCAGCTTAGTCTAAAATTGTCGTCGGAAATATCGTGATTAAATTTTGGATTAGATGAGATGAGGCATGGGGAGACTAATTTAACTAAAGAAGTTGCCTACACAATCCTAAAATGGTAACAATTGCATCAAAGTAGAACCATATAAAACATTTCAACCCTCTCAATCAATAGCAAAATTAAAGTGGTTTTGTGAGAGGACACACTCACCACCCCAAAGTTACTCACACGTGACCGTCATACTCGAATATTTTGATGCCAAAACAATTTGGATTATAGAAAAAGCGATTTAACACTCCCTCCTCTCACTCCACTACCATATGCATGTAAAAGCAACTTCCCAACAACGAAAGTACACAAACTGCATCTAGAAAACGCCCTTATTAGTTTATATTTGTACTGATTAGTAGTAGTATCCCACAACTCTTGGAGCGTGCCGTCCACGTCACCCTAGCTAACGCGACCAACTACCAATCTGGACCGTCCAACCACAAAGGCGATGTATTGCTCAAAACGGCACCGTATAACCACAGGCTTACTGGCTACCGGCTACGGCCGGTGAAGGGGAGAAGAGGAGCCGAGGATCGTATATAAGGAGGGGACCATGAATTACGTCGCTCCTCTCTCCGGCACTCGCGGGAAAACGACGCCTCGACACGCGTCGTGCGCTGCTAGCTTGGACCACGGCGATGGGACCCGCTCCAAGCACGCGCCAAAACAAGAGAATCGCAACCCTACACGTGGCGTGCTGTGACCAGCGGGACCACTGAGAATTTTTGACTTCTCTGACAGCCGCCGGCTTAATCAATTCGAGTGTGGTCCCCTTTGTGGGATGCGGTCCCCACTTTCGAGCCCGGTGGGCCCCAAAATGGCAAGATTAGGGAAAGGGTTCTAAAAAAAATACAAAATAAGAACGGTGGGGGCCCACTTGGGGTGAGAGCGGGTGCTGCTGTGTGTGGCGTTTATGGCGAACTGTTCACCTACATGGCTAATAAAACTAAAAGGCAAGTGGTCCCCTACCTAGTTGCTCTCTGTATTTTTCAATTTTAAATTCATTTACTGTTATATTTTGTTTGCGGAAATTCCAAACAAATAATACTACTTTTATCACATTTGTATACCACATTTTCATACAACCTTATATTGCAAGTGAGGTAGACAACCACATCAATTAAATTCATTTAACATTTTTTTTTCTTTTATGATTTATTGACACTTTTTAATTGATATGGTTGTCCACTTCATCTGCCACAAAAAATGATATGAGAATGCTGTATACAAATGTAGTAAGAGTAACATTACTCATCCTAAAATTTGAACTCTACTCTATATAGAGTCAGCTATTTATACACAATTACAATGAAATTTACTTTCTAAAGGCTCGTATGATAATCATTTTTAGTTTTCATTTTTTTTGTTATGATAAAAAGGAAAATAAGAGGGATCATGAAAGTGATGATGAGATGGGAGGATGAAAGGGAGGAGTAACAAAAGTGAAAACAAAAACTTGAAACAAAAACAATTTCAAATACATTTCAGTTTTTAAATTTTATTTTCACTTTTGTTACTCATCTCTCATCACTCTGCTCTCCCATCTTTCACTCTCATTTTTCCTCTCAATATGATCTCCACTATCATTCTCACTTCCATTCTTACTTTTTTTTCCTCTATATTATAGCACAATAAATGAAAAATGAAAACTAAAAACTAAAATTAAAATTGTTATCAAACAGGCTCTAAATTTGTCCTCGTTTCACCAGCCCAAAATTGAAGATGTAATGATTCAATTCAAGTGTTTTAATCTTATTATACAACTTTACTACATTATTGTTGTACATAACGAATACTTGTCCTCATTTTTCTTTTTCACCTCTACGACCTCTCAATTTTATTCATTTTAAATATAAGGAATTCGAAAATAGGATATTAGTTGCAGGAATAACTACTTAATTGCTTGAGTTATAAGCTCCTTGTCAATTTTATTTATATTTGTTTGACAAACAACACAATTTACATTCTAGTGATTTAATTAAAATTAATCTCAGATCAGCAGGAAAAAAAAATCAGCAAAATCAATGAATGGGTGCCTCTATTTGCACCCATTACCAATATTATCATATCATATGGTTCTTGCCCGTTTTAAAATAATTTATTTAATTTGAAAAAAAAATGAAGATAGATATATTTTGTTCAATCTCTTGCTACCATCTTTTAAGCTCATAGTTCTATATATAGATAGATATTGTGCGGTTCCTACGTACGTACCTTCACTTTATGGGACATAATCTTATACTAAGATAAAGCCTCGAGATGACTAAAAAACAATTAGACCCTAAACCTATTTTATAATTCTTAAGCGACAAAAGAAGAAAGTATATTCTATGGCATACGGTCTTGGCTTTGGATAAGGACTAGTAGAAAATAAATGTCCAGTATGACTTTAATTTTCCTAATACTTTACAATATTATGGTTTAAAATAAGAGCCATGTATGTACATAGGCCCTACATTTACCTCATTGTCTTGCCTTCTCAAGCATCTTAATTAGTATTGAATTACCTGCACTCTTACTCTTTCCATTCTCAAATATTTTTAGTTGAAAGGTCGATGAATGAGTAAATTACTTCTAGGGTTTTGACTTAAGTATGAATTAAACCATTTGATTATAGCGGGTTCGTAAATGGTAATTCTTTCTAGTAGTAAAGTCTACTTCTGGGTGTCAAACGTTTGTAATTCAAGTATTTGAGAGCAGTTGTTTCTAGAATCGCTTGTATAAAAATATACTTTTAAGGTTTTACTCTTGACATATGATATTATATATCATTATACTAGGAACTTCATATCTATCCATTAGTTCTCAAAATCAACTATAATTATTCACGTCACAATAACATAATATGTCAAATTGTCTAACCTATGAGATTATGGTCCAACGCTTTTGTCACAAACTAATTGGAAAGACAAATCTTCTCCGGTCAGAAAGTTTGACATAAAATTGTTAACATAAATCATTGATTAGATGATTAATACGTGTATTAGTCTATGCACTATAATTAGACTCGAATTGAAAACGAAAACTATCACGGTTTAAAAAAAGAAAAAGTAGGGGGTCATATGAATGGGACAATTTTACCAATATGAAACCCAGCTAAGACGGCTCTTGTCGCATCTCAAAGAGTCAGTCGCTGTTCCAAGCCATGCGTGCCCTTTATATTCATATGTCATTTCTTAATTTTATTTTAATTTTAATTTATAATAATAATAATAATAGTAATATTTTAATTTTTTATGTCTAGACCTCAATCTCAATCGCTTGTCAGATACTATTTGTGTTTGGTTTGGCAAAAAGAAAAAGCAAAAGAAGAAGGCACTATTTCTCTTTTTGGCATCAACCCAACAACGCCAACATTAGTTGGGGATTAAGCAGATTTGTTAATAGAAGTTTCTTTTGGTGGTGACACCTAATCCTTGGATTAGAGATCTTAATCACAATCCTTTTTCTGTTGTGGCACCCATAAAAAAATCAATCGAGTGTACCTGCAATCACCAAATTCCTATTCATTGCTTTGTCGATCA